ATCAACGTCACCCAAGACGTAGTATTTCAGGGGTTTAAACTTGGAGAGGTAGGAGACCTCCAAAATTATGCTTCATCTATACCAGAGGTTCCCAAACATAGACCCCTTGCCATGTTTTTCGTCTTCAGGAAGACAACTGCTTACTTAATATTGAACTTTTGCACATTTTAAATTAAATGTCTGGTATAGAGCTACTTACTTTAAGAGATTTAAATTTTTAACTGTAGTTATATATAGTGTTTAAATCACGTGTTAATTAATTTTAAATTTCAATTTAATAATACATTATACAACTGAGCACAAAAGAAAATATTTTTAATTGGGAGGGATTAATCTGGCACTTCAAAAACAAATTTTCAACATTTGGCATCAATCTTGTCGAGTTTAACCCTGAATTTCCTCAATTAATAATATCTGGCCTTTTTTTTTCTTCTTTTTTTTTGAGATTGATAACAGCGATGAAACTCTTGCTCACAAGGAAAAACAATTAGAAAGAGATTCTCTCGATATTCCATAATTCGGATTAAATAACAGAAATGTCTTTTTATAGCGAAAATTGCTGACATCCGTTTCTAAACTTTACTTTAAGATCTTCGTTTTTGGCTATTCCGATATCAGTTCCTCTTGTAATATGACATTTATTTTCTTCAATATGTCCCGTATGATTTCTTAGTCTACTGTAATACAACCATAGTCAAAGTATTCTCAAACCTGGCTTCAAAATTTGAATAGAGGGCATTTAAATGTTAAACATCATTCCAAACGTTATCTTCCTGAAAATAGTCTGTGATAAAATGAGAAACTGGGAAAATTCGCACTGTTCAATATTATACTCCTTTAAAAGAATTCTGGGGGAAAAAGCTGAAATGATTGTCCTTTTTTAGATAAAATATATGCTGTCACCTTGTAACTGTGCAAATTAACCTCATTAAATTTACTAAATAAATTTGTAAAATAGGTAAAATCTGGTTCCCCTTATATCGGTGAAGTGGTGAGTCTGACGCGAAACCCCCATTGTTCAGTTCCTAAGCAAGCTTGGTACTCATTTATCAGCCCACTGAAGGGATTAAAGGCTCAGTCATCCTCGCGCAGCTCGGGATTTGAAACCCGGATCTGTGGCGTGGAAGCGCAATGCACTACCATTTAGCCAATGGGTTTCATACGCCGACTGAAAGGGAGAATAAATGTTGATGAAAGCTCTTCCAGCAATAGCATGGTGGCCGTGGTAGCCGAGTAGTATAGGTATCGGATCGTGGCATGTCTTGTTACGAGTTCGAGCCCAGTACCACTAAAGACCCGCAGTGTAGGGCAGCGATGCACGTTAAATCTGTCAAGAGCTAAAACGTCCTCCCATTGGTGTGGTAGTTAGGAGAGGCGAGATGTCAGCTCAGGTGTCGTCCACGTCATTTGGCCATGGTTCAAAATGACGTGGTCCGTCGGCAAAAGCCCTCATGTAGCTGAACAGTGCGACGTTAATATTCACTCACTCACTCGGGACTTAGTTTAAAAATCGGAGATTTCCTTATTTTAAAATTTCACGACAAGTAAAATTGTTATTTTTTGTTTATAATTATGATATGCGCAATATATAAACAAGTAATTTTAAAAAAATAAGTCCATTCCTACTTTGGTCAACAAAGAAAAATTTATTTTTTAGTTACTTTCTCAATTCCTACTATTATAACTCACACTCTCTATATATTCATTCATTTATTTATTTATTTACCTTGGTGGAATTTTCAATCGTTAATAAGATACATTTTAAAGCGCTCAATCGAGCTGAAATTCTATATGCAGGATTATTTTGGATGAAAATACAATAATTTAATTATAATTAATAAAAATTCATTGATTAAAACCAATTATTTAAAGAATTAGAAATACAGCCACGTTGGTGACTTAGCGACAATTTTGGCGACATATGTCAAAACTTGAATAGGTTTTTTTTCTCACGTTTTAAAGCATTCATTTGAACAGAAATTTTATATACACGATGTTTTGGATGACAATACGATACTTTAATAATGTTGAATAAAAATTAATTACCACTTAATGTTGTGATTCTGTCCTATGTATATACATATTTATATTAATTATAAATATTTAATAAAAAGTAGCTAAAATAAAATTTTTCTTTCATCTAAGTAGGAATTGATTAAAAAATTTTTTTATATTACTTTTTAAATAGTTACAATTAATATATATATATATATGCACGACAGAATCACACTATTAAAAAATAGAAAGCGATTTTCCTTGCCATTTTCCTTCTTATATAGGGAGTGGGACTATTTTTTGTTTTCTACTATTTATTCTTAAATAAAGTATATTTATTCTAATAAAATAGTACACACAGTAAAAAGGTAATCACATTCTCAAAAATTGGGTTATTCCAGATGGGGTTCGAACCCACGACCTTTGGATTAGAAGTCAATGCGCTCTCCATTGCGCTGCAGGAACACAGCGAAGGATTTTCCTTCTATATGCTTTGGGCTATTATTTTTGTTACTACTTATTCATTAACTAGATATGTTTAATGAATTATCATTCTCAAAAACCGTTTCAAGACATCAAGTTTCATCCTCCACACTCTTAAAAAAATGTATTTGAACTTGATTGGATGAATAGAAAGTATTTTAAGGATTGAAAATGTGAGCAAGATAAATATATATAAATATATATAGAGAGAGAGAGTGTGTGTGAGCTCTCTAATTATAGGTATTGAAAACAGGTAACACATTTAAAAAATTTGTTATTTTACTTATAATTCAAAAGATAAAAGTAGTATTGATTATATTTATAAAAAGAAAACTAAAGATGATTAAATTTATGAGAATGTAAGTGCTATAAGATAATCATATTATAAAATTGATTGTTCCATTTTGTTTTTAGGATTAGGTATCGACGAGCCTATCGGCGATTTAGATTTCTATCCAAATGGAGGTAAAAAGCAACCAGGGTGCTTTTATCAGTATGATTTCAACTTTACATATGGATTTGTGGATCGTAAGTATTTCGATTATTAAACCAACATATCGAAAAATCCTAACTACGACTTACCTTTTGAGAAGACCACTCTTAATTAGCTTAAATCCAGTTACTCTTTGTTTTCTTAAAAAAAGTCCTTCATGTCTGTCGATCATATGTGTAAATTTTATTATGTGAACTTCTCTTTAAAAATTTTAATTTATTTCTTATTTGAGTACATTTTTCATATGTCGGCAACGTATTGATTTTTATCGGCAAGGTTTGTAATTTTTAAGAATTGAATTACCCAAAGTAAATATGACTTAAGCGTTAATCTTCTAGCCTCTTTTGTAAACTGAATATTTTCCTGTTCCCTTAATTATTGAATTTACCGTAAAATTTTTAAATTTTTTTTCCTTCTTAATGTAGAATACGCACATTATAGGCCTGCTATTTCCGAATCTTACAAAATTTTCGATTAGCACAGAAAATATTAATAGGAAATTAAACTCATTCACACAATATGTGTATATAGATTTATGAACTTTATCAGCTATGGCCGTTGCAGTTGAGTGTTTAAAATGTTAAATTCCTTACCTAATTTCAATCCAGTGGTGGGTTAGAATCCTGATATTATAAAAGACTCTTAATGAAAATTAAATCTGTATAGAGGCTGAATGTTCTCACATTGGTAAGATACGAAAATTTTGAGAATGGGAGAGCCTTAGCTCGAATATCATCCTCGTCACTTGACCACAGTTTAAAATTGGAAGGTTCGTCACTAATTGTCTTTGCGGTGCAAAGTTAATATAAATTAAAAATAAAATTATATTTTTTGTTAAGGTATCCGAACACGTTGAAAATCACCAAATGTGGTCAAGGCAGATATTTTGGTTTTTACCCTTATTGAATAGTGCTATCATTTGGCTTTACAAAACGTACTTTGTTTTGTTTCTACGTCACCTAGATGACAAGTTACAATTAATTTTATAAAGTTAGAAAAACCGGAAGTGCTTCTTTGATCTACTCGAAGTGAGCATTTAAATTGTTCAAAATCTATCATGGCGAGTCATATAACTCAAAATATTACAAATGTGTTTCTATAAAACTTTTCGAATCTGATATTTATGTTTTCTAAAGAATGCACCACAATAGTTCTTATTATATAAATAATTTTTATAAGTCATGGCTTGCTATTTAAATAATAGTCTCATAAAGAATGTCACATTCCTTATAATGTTTATTCCATCATCTCTAGATTTTTTTAATTTTAATAAAGCATTAAAATTTTAGTACATTTTCTACATAAATGCATCTACTTTGTTTTGGTAATACTTTTACCAATATAAGTTTATTACTTTTTTCTCAAATTTCTTTGAAGTTTATCAAAAATATTGCTAAAATTTCAGTTATAATTGGGATTTTTTGTAAAATTTGGTCAAATTGTTTGAAACATTGTTTGTTAAATATTAGTATTTATTGGTATTGAGTCCTGCATTTATGTTTAAATATGCTATTTTGTTAAAATGCACTCCGAACGTGTTCGGCGATTCCTCAAACCACAAATCAAACATGCATAATCCTTTCATCTAAAATGAACTAATTAAATTATTGATTTTCCGTGATCTTATTTTAGTTCTCTACTTTTCTAATGTTCTCCTATTTATGTTGTATTTATGAATTTTAACAGCTATCGAAGATTACATAGCCAACCCTTGCGATCACAGCAGAGCCAACTACCTCTTCGTCGATTCCATCAACCGGTGCACGTTTCTGGCAGTCCAGTGCGAGAGTTACGACAGCTTCACAAGCGGCAAATGCGAGGAAAAGGGTCCCTTGAGGAGTATTATGGGTTTAAGAGCTCAAAAGATTCCGGAACTTTCGGGATCGAGAAGGTTTTATCTCAACACGGATGACGAATCACCTTATTGTATGGAGTAAAATCATTAGTGTATTTAAACATTAAATATATATTTTGGATAATATTCTTTTTGCATTTTTTAAAAGTTATTTTGTTTGAAGTTGGTTACAACCAATACCCCCTACCCTCTAGACCAGTGGTACTCAACCTTTTTTCCCGCCGGGCCACATATATATGACAAATATTTCACGCGGGCCGTAACATGAGGATTAATGGAGGGGGGAGGGCGCTATAAGACCAAGGACTTTTAATAAGTGGAAAATTGATCAAAGTATTAATTATTTTGGATTTTATCTGAAAACTATAGAAATCTCCATCAAACTCAACTCATAAAAAATAGGTTTTATGCATTAATTACCCTGTTATGGAGTAATTTCGATTTCTTTTCATGAATTATCCA